TTCCCAAGGCAAAACTTCAGCATGATACTGGCAAGCTTGGCATGATTGACATCTATGCTCAGCTTGAGGGGGAGTGTAGAGAAGATGGGCCGAATAGCCCATAGGTTGTTTATCCTTTTTTACTGTTTGTATTCCTTTCTGTAGTGGGCCTTATTCTGGGCCCATTCTTTCTAATGGTATGTTCTTTTAATTTCTTGCCCAACTGAGGGCCTTCTTGTAAATTATTCAAGGTTAACTTAATAAAACAGTGTTAGGGTGTAAGAGAAGAGGGTAAGGTTCAAAACTCTCTCTCTCTGAACCCTTTCTTGCTGCCATCTTCTTCTTCACCCTCTATTCTTAGAAGAAGTATTTTCTGCTGGTTCTTCTTGATTTCTGCATCTATTCTAAACAGTCCTCTATTCTCAAGGACCGTTTTTCTTCTAAAGACAAGTTAGAAGGTCTTTTTGCAGTTCTAGTATGTTTTGAAGTCATTCAAATTATATTGCCTTTTTTCCGTGTGACCCTCAAGATTTTTACTTTGTTGTGATCGAAGGTCTCATATTAAGTTTGATGTGATTCCATAATCCATACTTGATTTGAGAAGATGGGTGTGATTCCTTTATCTTAATATCATTCTCATTTTCAACATCTCTATTTGTTGTTGTTGTTGTTGTTATTGTATTTATGGAGATTCATTCATCCCAAGGCTATCTAGATCACAACAGTTATCAAATTCAAGATTTTCTAACAACTGGAGCAAGAAATACCTCTCAAAATATCATTATTCCTATCTGATCAACCTTCTGCAAGAAACTCCACCCACTTTCCAATAAAAGAACATAAACAGATTTTTTAAACCTGAATTTTCTGCTTGAAACTTATACTCAAGAATAAAATAATGAACATTTAGTCAACCTTTATCAAGATGCAGATTTGCAATTTACATTAAACGCAGAGACCATGACTGATCCACGAAAGAGTTTTTTTTTTGCACTTAAAGGAGAAATAATTCCTTTATATACATGTATTTTCTTCTTTATTTTTATTTCATTTTATAACAATTCATTGGTTTGTTATGGCTGAATTTCTTGTTGCCCTGCAAGGAATACAGAATGCAAATGAATTGAATATCTTAAACATGGTCATTGAAGGGGATTCAAAACTGGTGGTGGGGTGGCTGATTTATCTAGATTATATAATTTGGTGCTATAGAGATTAGATGAAGAAATTTAAATGTATCACTAGAAATATGAATTTGAGGATACAATGGGTGAGGAAATTGGCAAATGGAATGGGATGAATAGAAACTGTTTGTATTGGGCTCAAATAATAATGTAACTGTACTTGGGAGAGGTAGATTTGTGCCTCTCTAAGGTATGCTTGTAATGCCTTTATCTCTTGATTAATGAAGCTTGATTTTACTTATCAAATAAACAATTCTTTTGTTTGTTAGAGCCCTGTGCAATGATCACTTTTTTCCCTTGGTTTAAAATTTCTTCCTGTATTGACATATAAAATTGGGAACAGAAGAACATATTTAATTCTTTTCATATGTTCCATCTCTGAATGAATATTTCTTTGGAATAAGCACTATATTTTAATTTTGGGATTTGTGTCATATATCTTTTAAAATTCTGTCTTGAACTCCAGATGGTCATGACTTGGGACCAAGTCTGCGTGACATATGTGCAGCTAATCGGTCGGATGAAAAGCAGGTAAAATTTGTCTGCTTTCTTATATGGAATATGGTCTCTCTATTTTCTTCTCTGTCTCTATGTACATATATATTTTGCTTTGACTTATTTTGTCTCATGGTCTTGAAAATTGGGATGACTATTATTATTCCGTCATTTCCTTCTTGCTTTTTGTAGCAAATAAAAGCACTACTCCAAAGTGTTGGGACCTCCTTCTGTTCTAACTACTCAGACTGGTTTGGAAATGGAAATGGTTGTGTCCGTTCAAGAAATGCTGATCGATCTGTCATTTCAAAATTTTTAAAGGCTCACCCAGCCAATTTTTCTACCATCAAATTGCAGGTCAGGCCACATCCATTATAAACCAGCCTCCTATTGTAAGGCCTCACTTGTTGGTGGCTAGGCTCTTCATTGGCCTTCTAACAATGTATTTGTTTTTCAATTATTCCAGGAAATGATTCATATGATGAAATCAAAACATTATCCAGCTGCTTTTAAGTGTTACTGTAACTTTCACAAGTTGGACTTTATGGCAGATGATAATCTTCACTTTAAAATGGTTATTCATGTACACAGTGATTCAGCTTTCCGACGATATCAGAAGGAGATGAGGTCAAATTTTAATTTACATTTTTTACTACTGTAGAAGTGTTTAGAATTTAGAAATAACCTGCTGTATTGTATTACTAAGAGAGGGAAATACTGTAATTTTCATTTGTTTAAATGCATAAGTATATGATCTAGGGTGGGCCAATCTCTAAGGACTAACACACCCTATTCAATATCTTTCTCTCTTCTTTTTCTTTTCATCTTCTACTGATTACAACAGATTTTCCATAACAGCAATCAACTATTTTTATTGTCTAAGAACTAACTGAAAATCTGAAATGATTACTCATATTTGTCTATATCAAATTTAATTTAATAATTCCTTATCTCTCCATCATGAATAGTCCATTTTTGTTTTTTTTTAGATTAAAAAAATTTGGTGTGTTCCAGGTACAATCAGGGATTATGGCCATTGTATAGGGGTAAGATATCTGTCTTTTAAGATTCGATTAAGCTGGTTATCATTTAAGCATCATTTTTTTAGCTTGATGGTCTTGAAGTTATTATCAAATTATCATGGTCTCGACGATGTAAATAATTAATTTTTCTAGTTTGATAACTTTGAAGCTATTACCAAATTGTAAAGTGTTTTCTTAAGTGATTGATGAGGTAGATAGTGGACTTAGGAGTATCATTGGGGGATAATAACAAGAAGCAACATGGAATCAATTGTTTTGGGGTTACACAAGGGAGGACTTGTAAAGTATTTCAAAAATGGTTGGGTAGCAGGACTAACCCAATTAATTGGAACACTTGATTTGTACATTATTCTTTAACAATACTTAATAAAATGTTGAGTTGTTTCTGGTAAAAAAAATTGTCATCTCAATCCTTCTTTTTTGAAGTCAAATTACTGCCAATAACTTTGTCTAATCTCTTTTTCTTCATGGAATGTGTGGGAGGTCATTCTCCTGCTGAAATAAGGACTTTTTTTAGGGAGGTGGTTTAAAAAAAGATAACACTTGTGATCTGATTAGGTAGAAGAATTACAGCTAGTACGTTTTCCTCCATGTGTTCATGGAATCAAGGAATTGTTAAAATCACTTTTTTCTCCTTATTATCTTTGTAACCCAGATCAGAATCGATCTCTTTGAAATCCTTTAGGAACAATACCCCTTTAGTTGAGACATACAGGACATATAGCTGACAGCCTACTGCTGCATATACAGCAAGCTACATATGATTTATCTTCCGATTTATTGTAAACCTTGACATTTTGACTGCTCCATTCTCAAATATTTTTGAGTAGGAATCTTTCACTTTCTCTTTTCTAGTTTCTTTTCTTGTGAAATTTGACTGTAATTAAAATTTGCTAATCTGACTTCGCCATGTGGCCCGTGCCCTGTCACATCATGATATTCTTCTTTTTGCCACTGACCCCAATAGCTCCTTCTCCAAGCTCGGCAGCAACCAAACTTTAGAACTTATCCCTCCATGAAACACTTAGATCATCCGTAGAATTTTCTCAGGGTTTTCACTGTGAACCTTTATAATTGATACCCTCATGTTTCGAAGGGTTTGCTTCACTATATCTACCTCTACCAAGCTACAACAGGATTCCCCTATTCTCCTAAGGGTATGCTCAGATCATAGATTGAATGAGATTCTTAATATCCCTATCATTATGGTCTTTAGTGGATGGTGTAGTTGCCATGAGTTTGCTGCAGGACTGATGGAGCTGCCTATAAACCATAAGGATCCATTAGGCCCAGCCCATTAAGTACGGATATACTTGAGGACCTCGCAAACAGACCCAATACTTGCTTGTGATGTAATCAGAAATGTATAAATAGGTCACCGAGTAATGGAAATGCATAGAAGAGTTTTCCCTCTAAATCTCTCTCTCTCTCTCTCTCTATTTCAGGAGGAAGAGTTTCCTTCAAAGAAGACTCTTGAGATCAGCAGTATCTCATAAATTTTGGTATCAGAGCTAGATTTGAGATGACCATCACTAGATCAACGCCCATGGAGGAGCGAGTTGACCGGATCAAGGTAGATTTGCTTAAGTTCATTGGAGATCTATGTGAAATGGAGATTCTGTCAGTGATCATGTCATAGTGTGAGAAGATGGACACTACAATAGGAGGTAAGGAGAGCCATTCAAAAGGATCCAATTAGGGCAGTGCACGAAGGTTTGGTGGAAAATCTTCTTGATCAGTCAAGATGGATTTTCCAACCTTCACTAGCTAGGGTCTTCTCTCTTGGATCTATTGTGCAAAGAGATGCTTTGAGTTTCAGGAGGTACCAAGCCATTAATGAGTGGCGATGGCCTTAATTCATATGGATAGAAAAGCAATCCACTGGTTTGGACCTTCCAGCTTTGAAGACTTTGATGAGGCACTATCCAAAGTATGACAAGTTGGACCAGTTCTAGACTATTAAGTGGAATTTGAGAGATTAGCCACAAGGGTTCATAGGTGGCTAGAAAAAGTTCTTGGTGTCTGCTTCTGAAGAATAGGTTGAGGAAGAACCATAAATGTCAAACCTTTATTGTGGGAAAGGTGAATTTCAAAAATTCTTGAAATCAACCCAAGAGAGATTGGATCTCTCATGAGAAACAATTTTCCCCTAGGATCGATCTAGAATATCATGCCAAATTAATTCCTGTAATTGGGTGGAATTTTACCTCATACAAAGTCCACAAAAGCAACTCCCTAGGTGGTAGTCATGCCCAAAGAATCAAGTCCAAAAGATCCCCAAATCTGAAGATGGCACAGCCCAAAATTGGAGATCAAATTGCTAGTTCAAAGTGAGAATTGATGTTAACAGCTTTACACCCTCCAAGCTTGATCAAATCCAACAATGGTGCTTTGTCTTTTTCACTCAAAAGGCTCTTTTCTGTAAAGACTGAGGTGGGAGAAGAAGAAAGGTGCGCCTTTTCCCTTGGATTGAATTAGGGTTGTTCTAGCAAGAAATCTCTTCTTGATTGTTGTTGAGAAAGTTGAGGCAAGGGTGTTTTTAGTCTTTTCCTCTTCTCTTTGTATTTGGGTGCCCAAGTAGGTGTTAGACAGTTTATGTATGCCCTTAGCTTCAATCTGATTTGATGTACTTTTGTTATTTAGTGGAAATAAATAAAGTGCATGTTTGATTCATGTTGTTTGGTTTAATTCTGTGCAAAACCCTAAAA